CGTATCGGTCATGAGGAATGCACGCCCATGCTTCACAAAGACGAAGATCTCCCGTCTAGCCTTTACAGACTGTTGGGGACAATTGTCGTCAGCGTTATGCTTCTACGCGCCAGTGGACACGGTCATTGGTAACATCAAACTAAACTATGAACTATTTTTTTTTTACCAGATAAGGCTCCATAGGCTTCTTTCTCAGCAGCGGCCTGGCACACTAATGGATAGCTCAACGCAGTGGTACATCGTGTGGCATTTATAGAAGCCATCTACTCTAAATGCGTGCCGTTGATTCTAAATGTGGATGGAAACTTCGGAGGACATGGAAGGAAATCGACGCGACCATGGGGATAGAGACACCGCAAACTTTAAATATACAGCAGCAGGCGTCAGGGTGGGAGGATCAACCCCACAAACCTCCTGTATACCAGGCGAGGTAGTTAACATCTCTCGCCACCGTGCTCAATACGGTGCTATATATCGACTTACCACAATGCCATGCCATCGTTGTGCATTTTCATTACTATGCACATGACATACACAACAGCACAACACACGTTCTGTGCAACATAGACACGTGCATACATCGTAACGTAGACCGAATGGCTCTTGTTGATGTCATGCATAATATGGACAGGGACACGGTTTGCAGCTGATATTGCGTTATTACACAATAAATAAACAGACGATATTGTGACCCCTTTCACACGGATGCGTCTTTCCACATGAAATAAAAAAACAACAACAACATTAAAGTTGTTTGTTTTCGACAAACCCCAATCTGCTCCTCGAGCCATCCGGGAGTGCGTGATGTCAGTAGCATTGGTCCGGCACAGACAACATTCCGGTACGGGTCCCGTTGCACGTATCAGCGAGGTTATGACATCAGAAATAGCACAGATATAAGGGTGTCGCAAATACCATCGGATGTCGCCGAGTTACCGCACGCACGCACGCCTCGACTGTTGCAATTCTCTGCCGTGCGGAGGGAAACGCCGAGCATCAAGAAACGTCTCCGGTGTCTCCAAAAACAGCCTCCTCGACAGAGTCCATCACCCCCCACCCCGCCCACCCCCCCCATGGCCGCACCTTCCACGAGATATGGAAACGTCGTGAAGGAGCTTGCACCGGTTGGTTTCCAGCGCGTGCGAGAGTCCGTTTCAAGGTCTGTATGTATTTACCGCAAGGCCGTAGCCACGGAGTCAACATTGGGGGGGGACCAAATCTTCCAGGGGGTCTGGGTGTCCCCCCCCCCCCACCAGAAAAAAAAATCTAAATTTGAAAACTCATTTCCTGGCATTTCCTGCCTAAAATATTGAAAAATTCACTAACACATGGGATGGACTTTTTATTTATTTTTTACAATTATGCCTAATAGTGTATTGTATTACATTGCTTTGTTTTTTATTTTTTACTTTTTCTTGTTTCATTGTATGTAATGGCAGAGATTAGGGATTAGTAAAGTACAACCATAACCACAATCATATAAACAGAAATCTATTTTAGAGCAATATATTGGGGGGGGGGGGACACATTTTGAGCATATTTGAGTATTTGGTGGGGGGGGGGGGGGATATGTCCCCTACAACAATATATTATTATAATTACGGTCTTGCTTTACCGAGACGGTACGTTGAACTTCTTTGGCACCGCACGAAGTCAACGGCGCCAATCGGAGGTGCGGTATTCGCTTTAATAGCAACCACCCCACTCGAGCGATGCCATCCACCCATCTGACACCATCACGAAACCCACGCGAAACTGCCGTTATTGACTTGGACTTGCTGCTGCTGCTGCTCTGTTGTGACATCCGCTCGGCTGAGGACAGAACGGAGTTGTTCATCTGCAGCCATGGTGGCCTGCGACAGTCTCTTGCCTAACGGAATGCGGTCCAGCCAATGGGCCATTTTAAGAATTTCGAATCTTTATTTAGACCACAAGAATCCGATGAGCTATGAAGATTTTTTTTAATAGATGTCCACTATGGGCGGGTCAGCGAGTTACAAACAGCAAATAATAGCCAAAAAACTGATAGGAGTGAATTTTTTTTGTAAATGATTAGCAAGTAACAAAATATAAATACGTAACAAATGAATGATTTACGTCCCATTCATCAAGATTTGGCAAGGCAACAAAAAAACAACAACAAAACAGTCCCAGACCACAACAGTCCCTCAATAAAATGGCACATGAACATTGAACTATCGATACACAGGTAACGGTCAAAGTTACAAATCACATTTACAAATGCGATTGTATCCAGCACGAATCAGACCGGACACAAAACATATATTTTTTATTTTTGCTCCGCACGTTAAGTTACATTTTCTCAGAGCCAACCGCGCTTCCCGTCTTTGTTTTTTAGCTGATTATGGCGCGTTATAATCTTGTATTGAGAGAGATATAGATAGATACTGGTGAACTGCCAAATGTTACAGGCAGGGACGTTCTCTGCGTACGATATGGGTGCTGGTTCGACTAAACATATATAAATACGTAACACAAAATAGTCGTTTGCTATCGTTGTGAATAATATCATCACAAATTAGACGAGCAGATAATGTCACCTTTATACATCTGTCCACATTCAATTAAGTTACCGTATCTGTTTTTAAAACAACCCATTGCCTCCCCCCCCCTCGCCCCAAATCAAGCACTCCCAGAGGGCCCATGGTTTGTCTAACTAACACACAGGACGCGGTTATTGGCCACGCACAGGGGACAAGATGTGCGAATAAATGATTTGGTGGCGCTTCAAGCTGCGTTGGCTGTGGGTCGCACAACAAAGTGAACGCCTTTGTCAATAACGCACACCGCTCGTGCAGAAGACACGACTTGAACATAATAATTATCGTCGCGGTCCCCCATTGGTGCAATGTTGCAGTCGCCAACTCGTATCCTCTACTCCGTCTCCATGAATGTGCTACGAGGAAGGGCCTTTGCCCAAAACGTCACCTGTTATGTGTTTTTTTTGTAGATATGCGAAGGAGACGTTGCGTGCTCATCTATTTATAAACATACTGTGTGTTCTCTACAGCGACACTGACGATTATTTGGCATTACGTTAGCGCACACACACACAGCAACAAAGATAAACGACCTCGTTTAGTAGAGCACTCTGACCTGGAGAGTGCTGTTAGCGAGCTCCTATTAAGATCCGGCAACGGTTTGGGTCAGCGCCATGGACGCACACACGACCCGGGCCGCCTTTGTCTCCCCATTGCTGATGTCCACGACAATGTCGCACCAAGTTGCTTCTATTTGGCTGAGTCGACCTAAGGAACACCTCGGCCGTAACTCGTCTAGACCGTAACTAATTTATATTTGCCGAGTGCTTGTGAAACTCGGTGTCCCGGTATCGAACCCCGATTAAATTAGTGATGTGGACTAATTACTGTCACGTCGACCTTTATTATTTCACGCGCGCGCTGTGCAGCCCACACACACACAGGGCCCTCCTGGAAACGAGACTTCAACCTGAGCGAGGCTTTCCAGAGTACACACTGCTGAATGAACAACTCCCCTCAATCCCCATCGCCATCCCTCACTATGATAAAAACTAAAATTGAAGCAACACAATACATTTGTTGAAGATATCATAGAAGTAATGGAGCGCAATCAAAGATGCCTCGTATAGCCTGAACAGACTGTTGGGGCAAGTGCTATTAGCGAGCATCTATTAAAGCCGGCACGGCTTTAATATATTCTGGCCGTAAATAAATATAAAGATCCCCCTTATAGCCTTGTCAAGACTGTTTGGGGTAAATGCTGTTAAGGAGCACGAGGGGGCTGGGTGGTCAGTACCATGCCCGGCCGCCTTTGTCTCCCTTGTGGCAATGTTTACATACCTGCACAAAGTACTCATTTGAGGCTGAGTGGACCTACGGGAGTTCCAGGAACGGTTCACATAATCGTCAGGTGTTCGTTTGCGCAGCGCGCTAACCGCTACACTACAGCTCCCCAGCGATAGAAATACACACACACATGAAATAACCGTGTATATGTGCTATAAAGAAGGGTCATTGCCCGAAACGTCACCTATCATGTTTTTTTTTGTTATTTCTGCTTCTGCATCACTGGCAACGTGGTATCACCAACTGTTTTGTTTACAATTATCAAATGCGTATACAGTACTTCACACACACACACACGTATACAGATACAAAAAAAAAACACAATGCAATGAACATAACTGGATGTGGATATGCGAATTGCAAAAATAAAAACACACGTACAATTCTGCGTCTTTTCAACGTAGATTGACGATTGTTTGTGGAATTGAAATGATATCTCGCGCGCACACCCGCACGCATTAAAGCGAGGAATGTAAACACAGGGCCACCGTGTCGATGCGGTGGGAGAGATAACGGCGACACGGGACGCTCCATCAGAAAAGCGCCACGCTCGTCCATACAGAGACTCGCGACGACTCCCGGACCCGCGTCACCTCGCACAGACAATGTCCACTCGTCACCATCAACACGCTCGCATCAACAAACACACGCGGAGACAACGGGACGTTAATAAGATCACCAAAATGCCAAAGACCACCCGTGTGCCTTAATAGACTTTATGGGACGAGTGCTGTTAGCGAGCACCTATGAAGGCCGTCACGGCACACGAGGGCGTGGGTGGCCAGCACCACGCCCGGCCGCCTTTGTCTCCCGATGTTTACACATCGCTCCATGCACACATTTTTGCCTAAATCGACCGAAGCAAGATCCAGGACTGCTTCAGATATTCTCCATCGGTGTTAGGCCGTTCTATTCCCACGAACGCACACACACACACACAACGCCTGTCTCTCGCATGCTTCTATGACCAACCTCGCAAGCGAGGCTCGCTCTATCATTGCTCCACGCTGAGCCGCAGAGCCATGCAATGCGATGCGCGTGTGCGGCCGCGCGAGCGATGGTGATGCTGTCGATGATGATGGTGGTGGTGGTGGTGATGATAATGGTGTGTGATGATGTGCGGATGGTGCAGATAGGATGAGTTGGGGTCACCTCTGTGTCGCGTCGATCTCTTCCTCCCGTGCCTCTTCTTTTTAACAGTCGGGGGCATCGTCCCACGAATTTGGGTCAAGCGCCGTCGATGATTTTATTTTTAAAAAAATATATATATATACGCGTGCGTTACCGTCTTCTTTCTTAGAGGAGAGGAATTCGCAAATCGCGCCGCTGTTGATGCCAGCTCGTTGCCACGGAATAAACACCCCCATCCCCCCCCCCCCCCAAAAAAAAGAAAACCCCACCGCCACCACATCTGCTGCAGTGGCTCTCTGCACAGTGGCCCAGATGTCATTTAATTCATTCATATAGAACACACACGCGCGCACCCGCCGCACGCACTGTATATGACAAACCCATTAATTGCCTTGCGCGGTCTCATTCCACCCAGACAATGAATGCTTCATGGGCGCGCAACGTTCACGCGAGCGCCGGCAAAATAAAATATTGATTACATTGTTTTTTTTGCTGTTTGTTCTCACCCCGTGAAAATGGTAATGCCACGTTCACGACGCCCCCCGGTCTACACGAGGCGTCGGCGACGGCCGGTGCGACGCCGGGGGATGGCTGCCAGGAGCCGACTGTGTCCCCCCCACCCTGCCCTGCCACACCACGGCGCGACGTCCCGGACGTTTTCAGGGATTATTTCATTTTATTCCTCTTCCTCTCTGCTGCCGGGGATGAGAAATTGAGCTTTCTCGCTCTCTTCTCCTCCGGCGCGGCGCCTCCACGCCGACTGCCCCTCCTCGCCTCGATCCGCCGTTCATATTCCGCTCCTACTCCTCCTCCTCCGCCGCGTGCGTGCGAGGTCGTGGCGCGCGCGGGGAGCGGTGGGGTTGTGGTTAGCGCACTGCGCTACGAACCCGGTCGCCCACGTTCTAAACCCGCTCACGACCGACATCGGTGGCGGCGGATATTTGAACCGGTTCTGGGCCTCCTCTGGGGGTCGACAGCCTAAAATGAGTATCTGGTGCGATGCGCAATGCATTAGCACCGGGGAGACAAAGGCGGCCGGGACGTTGTAGTGAGCCGTCCACCCTTCGTGCATGTGTCGGGGCCTCCATAGGTGCTCGCTAACAACACTCGCCCCCAACAGCATGAGCACGTTTTGTGTTGTTGTTGTTGTTAAAAGGATATTTGTCTTTGCGGGATGCGTATGCGTACGTGGTGTGGTGTGTGTGTGTGACGCGAGAATGGAATGTGCCTTATATGACGTGTCCACGTGTGATGCGTGCGCGTGTGTGGATTATCACCTCCTCCGCGGGTGTGAGTGTGAGTCTTTTGTGGGTAATCTGTGCGTGTCGCGTGCATTGTGTGTGTTGTTGTTGCTTGGAGTGGTTCTTGGCCACGATGGACGCTTTAAGGCGCTTGCGAACAGGATTTTCCCCATCAGTCTATTCCGGCATAAATGGGCATCTGTCTCTTTGCACATATTCTGCATTTGCGTTTGACCCTGTTTGGTAATGGTATGCGTGTGGTCTCTGTGTACATACAGTACAGTGTACGTGTCGATACATAATGGAGCAATAGCATGAGTGTTCCCTTTATAATGATATAGCGGCTGCCTGTGTGAGTGTGCGTATGTAAGGTTTGATATGACAATCTATACTCAATATTAATACTGCACACACACACGCCACAGTGAGCACACACACACAGACACAGTAGGGGAGCACACATAGCTGGGAATGTATGACCATGGCATTCACCGGCGTGTTACAATATTCTAATACTCGTAGGAACCTCCTGGTTACACCAGCCCACAGGGGATTATTGTGTCCGTCGTCCGTCGTGCAGGGAGGGCTGGGTGGGGAGGGAGGGTCTGGGTGGGGAGGGGAGGGTGGGGAGGGCTGGGTAGGGAGGGTGGGTCTGGGTGGGGAGGGGAGGGTGGGGAGGGGCTGGGTAGGGAGGGTGGGGCTGGGTGGGGAGGGGAGGGTGGGGAGGGGCTGGGTGGGGAGGGTTGGGAGGGGCTGGGTGGGGAGGATGGGGCTGGGTGGGGGGTGGGAGGGGTGGGGCTGGGTGGGGAGGGGCTGGTCACCCCGCGGTGCCCTTATAAAACTCAACGTTTAACCTATTCACGCCGGCTTGTGCCCGCTCTCACAGTCGGGCATATTTGCGGAATACACCACGCCGCCGTTGACCCTGCAGGCAATTGACCGAGCAACCCAACGTTCCTACCAGCTCCCTCCGCAGGACAATGTGTTTATGGATGTCGTGAGGACTCCTTTCACGTGGACACCGAAGAGCAATACCCTGACTCGCCAGCAGCACGCAGCACAGAGAGGAGTGTGAACTGCTATGTAGGTATGTTTCACTTCTTTCGCACCGTACGATCATCCGTCCCTTCTGTATGGCATAGAGCGTTGCTCCCTCGCGTGCGTGGGGTTTCTCCCGGGTGCTCCGGTATGCTCCCACAACGAAAGGGATGAAAGTATTCTTCATCGAGAGCTGCACATCAATTGTTGGAGCCACCTCACTGCCTCTGTCAGTCAGCCTTTCACCTTTTCTGTGGTTCGTCAGCGATTGCGAGACGCTATATGAACGTAATCATGAAATAGATTTTTTAAAATGTTCCGTCATGGTCTATCCACCGCCGACTCGTACGATCCCGCGAAGTAAATAAAATCCCACAGAGAACCTGCACACGAGCGCTGATTTCAGAGCTCCGTCTCGTCTGTGGATGACCCCTCGGACGCGTTATATTCCTCGCCGATCACTCAGTCATTACCCTTTTGACTATTGGTAATTTAATAATGCAAAAAAGCAAAGAAGATCAGAACTCCGCCTTTTTCACACGTAAATACAAAAAAAATCATGCTTGTTGCGTCCAAACCAATATCGACATTTATAACGCAGCGACGTGTTGACGTGTTGCGTCGCATATGTCATCTCTGCGTGTTTTTATTTACCCGCTGTTACAGCCGCTATGAAGCCGTGGTCTATGTGAAACATGCGCATGTGTGGGCACTGTCTGATATAATTACGATGTAATAATTCACGGCACCTTTGTCAAACCACTGTTGGATGAAGGTCTCCCACACGCCGTGTCGGTCGTGGTGATTTCGGGACCATGCTTCGCCACGTGTGGGCTGGTGAAGGTGGGGGGGGCGGGTGGCGAATTCCTAGGACTAGTTCAGATATGTATGTTAAACTTCTTTCGCGCCGTACGTAAGCCAACCCTGCTAATCGAAGGTGCGGGGGAAGAACAACAAACTCAACACAAGAAGTAGTTCTAAAGAAATGGGGCTTTCAAACTAGATTTGAAAGTGCATAGCTCCAGTGGCTTCCTGATATCGGAAGGAAGAGCGTTCCAGATGGTCGCAAAAGCGCATCATTGTTCGATGGCAGTGCCGGATTATCCTCGCAGCAAAAATAGCTGCATATGCTACGGGCTCCGCACTTTCAAGGGCCCCGCGCTAAATGCTTTCAAGCTATCAATTCCGGTTCAGTGATTCTGCACTTGCTCTATTACTGTAGTACTATACCGCCTTCAACATGTTAATGAGCGACTCGGTGTTATCTGGCTGGATAGAAAATGAGAAAAATACAATTACTTTACTACGCAAGTTAAACATTTGTGTTTTAATATTTGTGTATTTTTTTCAATTTAGGGCCCCTTTATAACAGATGCTACGGGTCCCGCACTCGCTCAATCCGGCAATGTGGCAGGCCAAAATCTGCTGCAGCGAGGATGACCGGAGTTCTCGTGACGGTTTATGCTCCTTGACGAGATCGGCAAGGGTGTTGTATCTTCTTGGTTCTTTCGGTAAAGTCACGTAGAAGGGAAATAATAAAATAATAAAAATAAGCACAATAAAATACATTTTACTATGTTTTCTTTTTATTATGTTTTAGATTTATTATTTTATTATTTCCCTTCTACGTGACGACTTTACCGAAAGAACCAAGAAGATGAATCCCTGCAGTCACGAAAGCTTTAAATCGAAATTGAAGAGTATTGTAGTTCATTTGTAGCAAGCACTTTGTATGTGATGAGTGCATTCGTTCGGCAACCTGATGCCAATGCTGCTCAGCGAGCACGGGACAGATATTTCGGATCTTGCAGTACCCGTCACGACACGGGCCGCGATGATTTCGCCACTAATGTTGGCCGTGCCCGGGGGGAAGTGGAACTCGTGGCATCAGTTTCATATCGCAGTGCGCTAACCATTGCGCCACCGCTCAACCCCTTGTGCATTACATGCCTCTGCCGTACGCATATAACGGCGCAAAGGAACTATGCGGCGTGCATGCACATCGTGTGTTTACATAAAGCGTTGTGGACGGGGAGCGGTGGCGCAGTGGTTCGAACACTACGCTGTGAACCCGGTGACAGCGTATCTGAACCTCCCCTAGATCGACTCAGCCTTAAAATGGTACAGTGCATATTCCGCTGTGTATAATGCGTCATTAGCAGGTAGACAAAGGCGACCGGGCGTGGTTATGGTCACGGCACCTTTGTGCGTGCCGTTCCGGCCTTAATAGATGCTCGCTAACCAGAACTTGCGTGAGCTGCGTCTATTGAATTTCGATTTAAAGCTTTCGTGACTGCAGGGATTCATATTCTTGGTTCTTTCGGTAAAGTCACGTAGAAGGGAAATAATAAAATAATAAAAATATAAAACAATAAAATTCTCACGACGTTTCGATTGCAACACAAGCAATCATTATCAGGTGTGAAAACCACAGCAATAATTTTTTTTACATTTTTTACATTTCTTGCTGTGGGTTTCACACCTGATGATGATTGCTGGTGTTGCAATCGAAACGTCGTGAGGATTTTATTGTTTAATTTTTATCATTCTATTATTTCCCTTCTACGTGAGCTGCGTCGATTGCTTTGTTTGGAGGTGTCCGGCTAACCGCAAATAAATAAACGCACGGCTAAATTTAACATCGCGTCCACACGTAATTTAACACCTCGGGTTCCATCAACACTTACTTACAAATAAATCAAATATACGCCGCACAATATTGTCAACTTGTTAAAAAACCGACTCGAGTGGTGAACACTTCTCCGCAGAGGCCGCTTGATAATGGATGAGTTGAGTGAGTGGCAATGTTCACATTTAACGGCGCAGTGATGTTTGCGCACGCCACGTGTGGGTCAAGTGCGGTGTCAATGCACCGTGGATGCATGCTGATGATATGCAGTGGAGGTGCGTGCGTGTATGTACCCTGCGCACATCGACAGCACGGTCACGTTTGTGTGAGATACGCGTGTGTGTGTGAGTGCGCATGACACGTGTCATATCGTATGTTTATTAGACACGTGTGACAGTGCCTCTGTGTGTGTGTGTTATTATGACGTGGGGAGCGGTGGTTATGGCACTGCGCTACGAACCTGTCTGCTGGAGTTCACGACTAATAATTACTAGAGTATATTTTTAACCGATCCTGGGCCTCCCTTAGTTCGACTGAGCCTCAAACGATTACCTGGTGCGGTGGGTAAACATCAGCTCTGGGCAGACAAAGGAAGCCGGGCGTGGTGTTAGCCACCCACCGTCTCGTGCATGTGCTGGACCGGCCTTCGGAGGTGCACGCTAACAGCACTTGCCCCAAAGGCTATACGGGCGATCTTTGTTTCGTGTATTGTGTGTGTTCGTGGGGAGCGGTGGCGCAGT